AGGAGCAGAGGTCTCTGACCGTCAAGTGAGAAGAGCAGAGTGCAGGACCCTACCCAGAGAAGCAGTGATGCCAGAAATGGAGGCAGAGACAATGATGTGAACAGATGGAGTGGCTGGGGACACTAGACTCGGGGAGGGAGAGGGCCTGTGTGCTGATGGCCTGTGGGGGCAGACCTGTGGGGTATACCCTTTGCTTGTTTGATGATTTACGGAGGGGATTGTAATCATTGTAATGAAATGAAATATGATGGGATGAATGTAAAACTGATGTTCTCCCATGTAAACCCACATAATTCACAATAAAAACTTAAAAAAAAAAAAAAAAAGAAATCAAGGGATGTATTGCTTTAGGCAGATCTGCTGCACAGGACCTCTTTAAAATGTTGAAGAGCAAAGATGTCAGCTTGAGAACTAAGGTGTACCTGACACAAGCCATGATTTTTTTTCAGTAACCTCATATTACATGTGAAAGTTGGACAGTGAATAAGGAAGACCATAGAAGTATTGCTGCATTTGAGCTATGGTGTTGGAAACGAGTATGTGTTGGAGGAAGTATAGCCAGAATGTTCCTTGGAAGCCAGGATTGCCAGACTTTACCTCTCATAATTTGGACAAATTGTCGGAAGGGACCAGTCCTTGGAGAAGGATATCATGTTTAGTAAAATGGAGTGTCAGAGAAAAAGAGGAAGACCCCTAACTAGATGAATTGGCACAGTGTATTCTGTTGTGCTTAGGGTCCCTATGAGTCCATACTGATTTGATGGCATTAATGATAATGATATGCAAAGACTCTTGGCCGGAGCTCTCGATGGGAGCGCGAAGCCAGGGCCTGCGGGCAGGCGATTCCAGGAGAAGCTGGAGCGGAGAAGGAGCCGGCAGCGGGCGAGCAAGGAGGCCAAAGCTATGCCACCGACGTTCCTGCAAACCTGGGCGCGCACTCGCGCAACTGCACCCGTGGCCTGAGCGATGAAGATGATAGTGCCCTGGACGCGGTTCTACTCCAACAGCTGCTGCCTGTGCTGCCATGTCCGCACTGGTACCATCCTGATGCTTGGCATCTGGTACCTGATCATAAATGCCGTGGTACTGTTGATGCTCTTGAGCGCCGTGGCTGATGCAGATCAATATCACTTTTCCAGTTCTGAACTAGGAGGGGACTTGGAGTTCATGGACAATGCCAACATGTGCATCGCTATTGCAATTTCTCTCCTCATGATCCTGATCTGTGCAGTGGCTACTTAGGGCGCCTACAAGCAACAC